TTGGGGGTGGGTTGGACCGAGGTTTGGTTTTAGGCCCGCCGGAAAGTCCCGTAAGAGGCGTGGCGGGCCCCTGGGCGCTTTGAGCCGCGTTAGGACGACGTCCAATGGGCGGTGGCGAGGTCTTGCGGCGCGCGTGCTCGGTGTAGGTGACCGCGTCGCGGATCACGTTCTCGAGGAACACCTTGAGGACGCCGCGCGTCTCCTCGTAGATGAGGCCCGAGATGCGCTTGACGCCGCCGCGGCGCGCGAGGCGGCGGATGGCGGGCTTGGTGATGCCCTGGATGTTGTCGCGCAGCACCTTGCGGTGGCGCTTCGCGCCGCCCTTGCCGAGGCCCTTGCCGCCCTTTCCGCGTCCAGACATGTCTGCTTGTGTTGGTTGTGTGGTTGGTGCCCCTCCTCGCCGCCGGAGGGCCAGTTTCCCTGGGATTCGAGTGCGGGTGAAGGGCAAACCCCTGCAGCGGCGCGCTGCAAGCCGCCCCGAGGGACCTCGCGCCCACTCGCCCGCCCGCGCAGCATGGCCGCCCTCGCCGCCCTCCTCGTCCGCCCGCCCGGCGGCCTCGCCCTCGCCGACGGACGCGCGCCGCTCGCCCTCCGCGCGCCTCTACCTCGGCAGCGGCGGGCGGGCGGCGATCACCTGTGCCGGAAGAGGGGTGAGTGAGGGGCGAGCGAAGCAACGTGCGTCCCTCGGCCGCGCACTGGCGGGCGAGGCGGAGGCGGGCGAGGCGGAGGCGGGCGAGGCGGAGGGCGGGCGAGAGGGATGACGCGGGGAGCAGCGGGGGTGGGGAAGCGGCCCCCGGAGGGGGCGTGCCCTTGGCGATGCGGCGGCGATGCGGCAGCGCGGGTGGTGGTGGTGGGATGGTGGTGGCAGTGGCGGCGGCGGCGGCCTCACACCTCGCTGACCATCCAAGGGAAGCCCGCGGGGAGAGTGCGCTGCGAGCGGACCACCCGCCAGCCCTTGGCCTCGAGGTAGGGCCGCAGCCGCTGCGGGCGGCAGCCCCCCACCTATCCTCCCCCAGGGGGGTGGGTCATCCCCCAGGGGGGTGGGTCATCCCCCAGGGGGGTGGGTCATCCCCCAGGGGGGTGGGTCATCCCCCAGGGGGGTGGAGCCCGAGCCGCGTGTCTCTCGGAGGTTGCGACTCGGGTGCGACTCGGCCGGCACCGTCTGAGGGCGGACGCGGTAGACGGCCTCCCAGAGGAGGGTGGTGAGGGCGGTACGCGCGCTGGCGGAGAGGGGGGGGGGGGGGGGGCCAAATAAAAAAAGGGTGGCCCCCCAAAACACGGGAGGTCTAACAGTCTGCAGGTCTACAGTCTGCTGGTCTAGGGGGCAGGCAACCCCACTGGCAGGCACCCAAAGAGGAGGCCTGGCACCCAATCTAACACGTCGTTTAAAACGCAGCCCCGGGAATTTTTTGGGGGTGTCGGGGGCGTTTTCCGGGCAAACATCCCGGGTTTCCCAGGAGGGCAACCCCCGAAGGAGGCAAATCCCGAAGGAGGGCCCCTGTCCCCCCACCCCCATTTAATGCCGGCAAGAAGAAACAGCCCCCTTTCCGGATCAAGGGCCCC